CTTGACTGTGGGTTCTTTAATTTTTATAGTTTCTTTTCCTTTAACCAAAGGGAAGAAAGGAGAGGGGAAGAGAGCTGCTGTCGTAACTTTCAGGCATTTGGCAGGGAGCCAGGTCCAAACCGTCACAAGGGGCTACAAGGATGGCTTCTGTGAGAAGCTGCTATAAACTTCCCCCATGTCAGACAGAGCCCGTGTCAGCTGGCTCCAAGATGGACCTGCCACTGGCCAAGGCTGAAACAGCAAGCAACGATGGTAGTGCCTCTGGGATAATGTACTTAAGAAGGGGAGAAAGTTACCATGCAGAAGCAATTTCAGCCAGAGAAGAGAGGTGCAGGGGTTTGAAGTTGATTACTCACTTGTCTATCATTGGTTCCTGTGTTGCCATAGTTATTATATTGTCTCCTTGTATTGGCTATCTAAATGGCCAATCCCCTCTTTTCCCCACCAGCCCTTATAAGCTGGGGGGAGGTTTGAATAAACTCTCTTTGCTGCTGGACTCCCTGCGTGCTGCGTGGTCTCTGGCTCCTGGCAGAGGTGCCTCCGCTGCCTGTCCCTGCCACGAGGGACGGGCAGCGGGGGGTGGGGGTGATCTCAGCCCTGGAAACCTTCACAGAGCAGCCGGGAGAGACCCTCGAGAAACCACACAAACTGCTACAGAGAGGAGTGAGAATATGTGAGAGAAAGGACTCTGCAGAGGGAGAGGGAGGAGGTGCTCCAGGTACCAGAGCAGAGATTCCCCTGCAGCCCATGGTGAAGACCATGGTGAGGTAGGCTGTCCTCCTGCAGCCCATAGAGGTCCATGGTAGAGCAGAAATCTACCTGCAGCATGTTGGAGCAGGTGGATGCCCAAAGGAGGCTGTGACCCCATGGGACGCCTGTGCTGAAGCAGGCTCCTGGCAAGACCTATGGACCCATGGAGAGAGGAGCGCAAGCTGGAGCAGATTTGCTGGCAGGACTTGTGACCGCATGGGGGATTCACGCTAGAGTAGTTTGTTCCTGAAGGACTGTATCTCATGGAAAGGACCCACACTGGAGCAGTCTGTTCCTGAAGGACTGCACCCTGTGGAAGGCACTCATGCTGCAGTAGTTTGTGAAGAACTGCAGCCCATGGGAAAGACTTCTGTTGGAAAAGTTTGCAGAGGACTGTCTCCTGTAGGAGGGATCCCATACTGGAGCAGGGGAAGACTATGAAGAGCCCTCCCCCTGAGGAGGAAGAACCAGCAGAAACAAAGTGTGATGAACTGACCACAACTCCCATTCCCTGTTCCCTTGCATGGCTGAGGGGGAAAGAGGTAGAGAATTTGGGAGTAAAGTTAAGCCTGGGAAGAAAGTGTAGCCGTAAATACCTATGTAGCTTATTAGTGACTGTATAGTTTACCAGTGTGGCCTAAAATATGTAGTTTATCATTATTTGTTAAGTCTCAACAGGCAGGAATTTTAACAAGAAAAGTTTCCTCTATCTGTGAAACAGGACTGATAAAAGGGAACCGAAAGAGAAACAAAACGGGCAAACTGGAGCTGATTGTAGGCCTTGAAACCGTTCCAGAAGAGGTGATGTTGTGTCAAAGGCAAGGGGTCAAGAAAAGGACAAGCTGAGGAAGACGAAGGAGATGAGCACTGGGGGTAACTACAGGACCTCTGACTCAAATTCAAGAGGCATGTCAAGGGTAAAATGGTTTTGAAAGTAGGTGGGACAGATGAAGTAATGCCTGAATTTGTAATTAGGTGACAGAATAAAGCTGTGGAACCTGTGAAATTCAACATGCACAATTTGGAATAGATTTCCTGTGCATCCGGCAGCTGTAATAAAAAGTGCTTTTGCTTTCTAATAGTAATACTTATATTTTCTCTCCCCTGTCCAGTTAAGGAGGGGAGTGATAGAGCGGCTTTGGTGGCCACATGGCATCCAGCCAGGGTCAAACCAGGACAGAATGATATCTGCATATTATATCAAAGGATGGAAGGAGAGTTGTGGCGTATTAAATCATGGACTCAGCTCAGCAGGGATACTGAGACATTTATTTGTTACAGTCACTACCTTTTATACCATGGTAATGTTACTATTTATATCATGTTTCCACCCCCTAGTTCCTTATGGCAGCTTTCCACAATCTCTGCTATTCCCCTCTTGTAGCTTCCCACTACACTTGCTGAACACAGCAAGGCCCACAAATCAATCTCATCACTTCCCACAACCAGTCAAGGCCAAAACACTCCTTGTTGATCCTAATTAACTGAATGCAGCTGCTGCTGGTTTAATTTGTTCCCACAGAGAGTGGTAGTTAATGAGGACATATTGGATAGTGTGGGATGTAAATGGTATGGGATAAGGGGCATAGAATGTGCTGGTTTTTGCCGAGATAGACTTGAATTTTTTTGTGGTATCTTATATGGGGCTACATTTTGGATTGTTGTTAGAAACACTGTTGGTAACACATGGATGTTTTAGTTACTGCTGAGCAGTGCTTACAGGGAGTCAAGTCCTTTTCTGCTTCTCACACCACCACACCATCAAGTAGGCTGGGGGTACACACAATGTTGGGAGGGGATGCAGCCGGGAGAGCTGACCCCAACTGACCAAAGGGATATCTTACACCATATGATGTCATGATCAGCATAGAAAGCTGGGGGGAATGTATTGGGTCTGGCTGAGATGGAGTTCATTTCCCCATAGCAGCCCTCTCGGTGCTGTGCTTTGCATTGGTAGCTAGAAGGGTGTTGATAACACACTGATGTTTTGGCTACTGCTGAGCACAGCATCAGCACTGTAACATTCCTTCCCCAAATGAGGGCAAGATTCTGGGAGGGGACACAAGCAGGCAAGCTGACCCAAACTAACCAAAGGCATATTCCATACCATATGATGTCAGCTCAGATATAAAAGCTAAGAAAAGGAGCAGGAAGGGGGAGGTATTTGTTGTTCACAACTTCTGCCTGCTGAAAAACCATTACACGTTGCCGAAGCCCTTCTTCCTGGGACATGGCCAGCCATTGCTGCTGATGGGAAGTAGAGAATAAACTTTGCTATCTTTTGCTTCACTTCACTTTTGCACATGCAAACTTTCGCTTTTACTTTAATAAACTGCCTTATCTCAACACATGGGCTGTTTTTCATGTTATTCTCTCTCCCCCATCTGGCTGGGAAGGGAGTGATAGAGCAGCTGGGTGGGCACCTGGTGTCCAGTCAAGGTCTACCCACTACAGGTGTAGGGATGTTTGGAGTGGTGGTGTTTTGTCTTCCCGAGACACGATGGAGCCCTGATTTCCTGGGGATGGCTGAACACCTGCCTGCCCATGGGAAACTGTGAATGAATTCCTTGTTTTGCTTTGCTTGTGGCTTTGGCTTTACCTGTTAGACTGTCATTATCTCAACCCATGAGTTTTCTCACTTTTGAATGAGTGGCTGTGTGGTGCCTAGTTGTCAGCTGGGGTTAAACTACAACACCAGGTTAATTACATGACTGTTATCTTGATTGTATTCCTCAGCAAAATATCTGAGTGGCTCATATAGGACTAAATTAATAAAGATTTGAGTAAAATTACTAGTTAGAAAACATTTCCAGAAAACAGATCTTGTAATGCTATTGTGGTATCTCTTCTTTGAGCAAATGCTTATTTGATAAAAATAACAGTGATGTCATATCCTTATGCTTTGTTTTGGCATTTGACCTGGTACAACAAAAAATTTTAATTAAAAAAAACTAGAAAGATAAAAAAAAATCAGAACGTCACACAGTAAGTGAACTGTGAATAATTGGCAGGCCTCCAAACACAGAAGAGGAACAATCTGCAAACACTTGTGCAAGTGATTCAGATCCTCTGGGGATCGGTTTTGTCTGTCTGCTATACTTTTATATCAATAATCTTGAAGAAGCTATACTGAATTATCACCATGTCACATTAGCAAATTATGCAAGAACTGGGGATGTGGGAAATAAAGGAGTGACTTACAAAGTGACTTGGAGCTTTTGTTAAATAGGGTGCACCTAAATATATATGTATAAATAGTTTATTTATATCTTAGATACATGTTATAAGTTTTTTAAAAATCTATATGCTATATCAGTATGGCCAAATGCAATATCCTAATTGTGGGCTAAAAGTATAGGCAGTCTTTGCATCTTAACCACTTTAATAAAATGTGCTACCTAGAACCACATATGGCATTTAGCCTCGATAAGCAGTTTTGAGGTTTTGGCATGCCACAGTCAAAAGGGCTCAAGGTTTGAAAAGATGCCTTATTGACAGTAGAGTCGAGGGACTCACTCCGTTTTAAGTCGAGACTGTTGAGAGCTCTGTGTGCTCACCTGAGTTTAGTTGCTGAGTTTATATATATATATATATATATATTTATTTCTAAGGGTTTGCACAAGCAATCAGACTTGGTCTTGTGGCTAAAAGTGAAATCCAGCAGACACAAGATAGTAAATAAAGCACTTTTTAATAAAAAAAAATATTTATTTAGGAGTGTACTGCCCAGCCTCTGGGTTATGTCATGGCAGGCACCGGCTGTCCGGCCCCCCTTCCCCTCCGCCCAGAGCGTTGGATTAACTGTCCTCCACAGCCCCCGGTAACGGTTAGTAAGAGTCACTAACAGCACCTGCACTCCCTGAAGCTGAGGGGGCTGCATCCCCGGAGCGTCCCGTCTACAGCTCCAGCCCAGTGGAGGGCTCCTCCCGTCCGCAGCGCTTTCCGGTCATACCCTCCCGCCTGCCGCTACCACATCCTCTGCTGACATCAGCCCACGCCGCCATATTGGAGGAGAAGCCACCTCTTCCAGCTCGGCCGCAGTAGGCGAGGAACGCCGGCTCCCACCGCCACTGCCTCCGCCTCTCCTGCTTCGGCTGAATCCCGCTCCCTATGATTCTTCCTGGCTGGCCATTGTCCCGTTGCGGATAAAACGGAGGCAGGAGTGGCTCCTGCCTCTTCTTCTCCCCTCCCTAGCTGTCGCCAAGCTCCTCCCCCCGTAGTGGGCCTTTGTCCTTCCACCGCCTGCAGCCATGACTTCCTTGACCCAGCGTAGCTCCGGGCTGGTGCAGCGCCGGACAGAGGCCTCCCGCAGCGCTACTGCCGACAAGGATCGGGAGGCGGGAGTCGGCTCTGAGGATGAAGGCCGCCGGGACGAGCCCGGCGACGACGAGAAGGGCGACTCCAAGGAAACGCGGCTCACCCTTATGGAAGAGGTGCTGCTCCTGGGCCTCAAGGACCGTGAGGTACGGCCGGGGGCGCTGAGTAGAGGTGGCTGAGGGGACACCGGTTATTCGGGGGATTATGGAGGTCGTTGATGAGGAAGGGGAGCCTAAGTGGAGCTAGGGTGCGGGTGGGATGGGAGCAAGGACTCTGCTGGGTGAGTGTTGCTGTGGGTTTGGGGCAGAGGCGATTTGGGGGGACGGTGGACTGTGATGTTGCTGGGGGTAGGGGCGCGTGCTGAAACAGGCTCGGGATTTTGGAGGAAGTGGGGAAGGTGATTGGATGTTGGGCGAAAGGAAAACTGGTAGAGATTTCGGATTGCCCTTTGAATGCAGGGGCTCTAATATTTGTAACATGCACCTCTGGGCTGGGACAGAGGAGAGTTCACTGATCTTGATAGAGCTTGGTGCTAATAACACCAAGTTCAATCCCCGTATGAAAACTAATCACTTAAGAGTTGGACTCGATGATCCTTTTCGGTCCCTTCCAACTCAGAATAGTCTGTGATTCTATCTCAAGGAAGGCAGTGTAGAGCTTGGAGGAAGAAGGGGACTTGGAGCCTCTGACAGCGTCGGTAGCTGACTTAGAGGCCCTGGTTAGACCAGTGATATTTATACTCTTCTACTTACCTGTAATTCTAATGTGGGAGACTTGTTTACTCCTATGTATTTTGTCAGACACAACTATATGGTGCTTATGGGGTTCTCAGGTGCTTTAGTATGATTGGCAGCCCTTTTTAATAAGGCTTTCCAGACTAATGTGTGTTAAAAACTTTTGGGAGATATGTTTGACAAAAATGGGCCTTGAATAATGAGAAGTTTTTCAAAATGAGGAAATGGCATTATTATATAATTATGTGTTTTTACTAAATTTATAGCTAAATTAGGTGTCATGATACTGTGAATAACAGTCATCGAGGTAGGTATACTTCAACCAGTGTGCTGGATTTTTTTATTTCAAAGAGGTAATCAATATAAAAAGCACGCACACTGCACAAGTCAGTCCTGTCAGTTTAGTTTGATGTGATGTATGGTGAAACATAATATACCTTTATTTTATATATGTGTTATAATATGACTTCAGTTAAGCAACCTGCTTTTTTTTGGTGAGAAGTAAACTAATGAAGCAGCTCACTGATTTGGATCGAAGTCTCTTAAAACTGCATTCATGAGCACAGAATAATGGGAGGAAAGCTGCTAAATTATGTGTTCTTTGACTACATTGCATCTAAAATAGATTTGCTGGTTGATAAAGAATAGGTTAAAGAGTAGCTTTCATAGTTAACATTTGTTTTTAATGTGCATTTGTATATCTGTATATATACTTGCCACTCAAGTGAGTACAGGTCACTTTTTTCATTACAGCTTTGCCAGACATCTTGTAACTCAGTCCCATAGAAAACCGAGAGGTTGCTAGGTTCTCTGCAACTGTTGCTCCATTTAAGTTTTTTATACATGTAGAGGGTTTTATGGTTGGTTTGGGTTTTGGTGTTTTGTTTTGTTTTGTTTTTGTTTGTTTGTTTTTGTTTTAGGTTTAAGTTCTCGCTCAGTACAAGTTGTGAATCTATTAAAATACAGTAATGCACACAGCTGCTCTTGTCCTCCATACAATGTGCCACAACTAAGCAAACTGAAGCAGCTATAGAGACACAGCACCTACTTCTGTAGTTCAGAAAATTAAATTTTGTAAGATAAAATACCTATTTGATCTGTAACTTATTCTTTATTTGGTGAAAGAAAACTCACATAAAGCACACTGAAATAATTTTAATGTACTGTAGCCTGCTGCAACGGTAAATATTTCTAGTTTTATTTACATTTTCATTGGTGAACATGTCCTTTGTGAGAGTAATGTTAAATCACGTAGGTACAGAAATTCTCTTGGATCTTTGCTACTCATGTTTGGCTTTCAGAAACTTCATTTATTGCTGAAGATTTAGTGTTACAGCATAGCTTTTTTCCAAATAGTACATGTGAAGGTCTCCAGTTTATGATACTTTTCGTTATATTGAAATACATTATTAGGGAGCTAGTTTGCCTGCTTGTATTGGGTCTGGCTGAGCTGAAGTTCATTTCCCCATAGCAGCCCTCACAGTGCTGTGCTTTGCATTGGTAGCTAGAAGGGTGTTGATAACACACCAGTGTTTTGGCTACTGCTGAGCACAGCATCAGCACTGTTATCATCCTTCTGGGAGGGGACCCAAGTAGGCCGGCTGACCCAAACTAACCAAAGGGATATTCCATACTGCTAAGGAAAGGAGCAGGAAGGGGGACATTCATTGTTTCCAATGGCTGCCTGCTAAGAAGCTATTACGCGTGCTGAAACCCTGCTTCTCAGGAAAGTGGCCGGACGTCGCTACTCATTGGAAATAGAGAATAAACCTTTTTATTTTTTTCACTTCACTTTTGCGCATGCAAGCTTTTGCTTTGCTTTTGCCTTAATAAACTGCCTTAACCCATGTGTTGTCTTCCATCTTATTCTCTCTCTTTAGTATATATGCCCCAACTCTCCAAGCTGACCCTGCCAAAAAAGATAAATTGTACACTGACCTGTGCTGCCTTACCCAAAAGGTTCCTGCAGATAAGATCATTTTCCTTGGTGATTTCAACGCTAGAGTAGGAAAGAACTCTTAAGCCTGGAAAGGAGTATTAGGCAAGCATAGTGTTGGAAACTGCAACGATAATGGACACCTTCTGCTAGAGTTTTGTGCAGAGCAGCAGCTTACCATCACCAACACTTTCAGCAAAAAGATAGTTTGAAGACAACCTGGATGCATCCTCGGAGGATCCACTACCACCGCGGTTACTAGAGTATGGCACTAAGTGCCACATCTAGTCTCATCTTTAAAACCTCCACTTCCATTCCAATGCCTGATTACCCTCTCTGTAAAGAATTTTTTCCGAATATCCAACCTAAACCTCCCCTGGCAGAGCTTGAGACCATGCCCTCTTGTCTTACTGATAGTTACCTGGGAGAAGAGACCAACCCCCACCTGGCTACAACCTCCTTTCAGGGAATTGTAGAGAGTGATGAGGTCTCCCCTGAGCCTTCTCTTCTCCAGGCTAAACAACCTCAGCTCCCTCAACCTCTCCTCATAGGACTTGTGCTCGAGTCCTTTCACCAACCTTGTTGCTCTTCTCTGGACCCGCTCCAGCACCTCAATGTCTTTCCTGAACTGAGGGGCCCAGAACTGGACACAATACTCAAGGTGTGGCCTCACCAGTGCTGACTACAGGGGAAGGATCACTGCCCTGCTCCTGCTGGCCACACTGTTCCTGATACAGGCCAGGATGCCATTGGCCTTCTTGGCCACCTGGGCACACTGCTGCCTCATGTTCAACTTCCTGTCTATCCAAACTCCCAGGTCCCTTTCTGCCTGGCTGAAACATTTTGCATGAAGTATAACTGAGAAAGTATTGCTGTTAATTGCTAGAAGTGGAACTAAAAGCTAACATCATTTTATGTTAAAGAAAAAGTGGTGTTATTTCAGGTGTTCTTTGATCTTAAAGTAGTTGAAGTACTGCAGCATTTATCTCAGTTACTTAAGCTTCACAGTAACAGACCACCTTTGCAATACTAAATTGACCAGGTTAAGTGTTACAAGACAGTATATTCAAGAATGACTTTCCTACTCTCAGAGCAAATAATTACTACAGCACCTATTCATTTCTGGTTTGCATTACTGGGAAAATCATAGAATGGTTTTAACTGGAAGGGACATCCAAAAGTCATCTTGTCCAACCCCCCTCCAATGAGCAGGGACATCTTCTACAAGGTCAGGATGCTCAGAGCCCTGTCCAGCTTGACCTTGAATGTTTCCAGGGATGGAACATCTATCATCTCTCTGGGCAACCTGTGCCAATGTTTCACCACCCTCATCATAAAAAATTTCTTCCTTATATCTAGTTTCTTATTTTTTCCTTATAGTCTTCCTTATATCTTCCCTCTTTTAGTTTGAAACCACTACCTCTTGTCCTATTACTGCAGACCCTGCTGAAAAGTTTGTCCACATCTTTCTTATAAGCCCCCTTAAAGTACTGAAAGGTCTTAATGAAGTCTCCTTGGAGCTTTCTCTTCTCCAAGCTGAACAACCACAACTCTCTCAGCCTGCCTTCACAGGAGAGATGCTCCAGCCCTCTGATCATCTTTGTGGCCCTCCTCTAGACCGCCTCCAACAGGTCCATGTCTTTCCTGTGCTGAGGACCCCAGAGGTGGATGCAGTACTTCAGGTAGGGTCTCATGAGAGCAGAGTAGAGGGGGAGAATCACCTCCCTTGACCTGCTGGCTATGCTGCTTTTGATGCAGCCCAAGATAAGGTTGTCTTTCTGGGCTATGAGCACACATTGCCATCTCATGTTCATTTTTTCATCCACTAAATGGATGGGAAGGGAAGGCTAGTTGGGAGTAAATGTGTGGCTCAGTTTCCTCTGCATAGACAGCATTTCCAATTTGTTTTCTCATAACTTTTAGTAAAGAAAGAAAAAAAATAGTCAATCACATGCCACTTTTAACTGGGGTTTTTTTCCAGTTTGCAAACAGGTCTCAGATCAATTTCAGTAATTGATTTTCTTTCCTTCCAGAAGTATTCATAAAATGTTACTGCACAATCAGATTTTATTCATTACAATGGGAAATGAGGCTATCAAGCTTTTTGCATATCTTTCTGTTGCTGATATTCTTTTAAGCACTTGTAAGCTTCTGTCCTGGTTCTGACCAAGACAGGGTGAATTTTTGCATCAGCCAGGATGGGCATAGCCAAGACCCTGGGGTTAGTCCATACAACCTCCTGCCATGCACAGGGGGGATGGAGGGAGATGGGTACCCTTCCAATTTGGCTGGGGTGTGTGGAGTGTGCAGTCAGGTGGTACCGTGTTCTGCCATGAGTATGTGAATCATTCACCTATCTTGTACACTCTGCTATTAGTATTGTTGTTGTTACTGTTAGTGAGCAGTGCGTAGTCTGGGGTGTTTCAGTGGGAACACTAAGTTGGGGGAATACCATTCCTAAACTATGACAGCCTTA